CTCGGATCGACTGTACATCAGTATGTCATCGAAGAAAACTAGTACAAACCTCCGCAGGTACGGCCGAAACACCCTGTTCATCAAGGATTGGAAAGTGGCTGGAGCATTGGTAAGCCCAAATGGCATCACCAAGAACTCATAGTGCCCCTCGTGTGTCCTGAATGCCGTCTTCGGAATATCCTCCCCTTTCATCCTGATTTGGTGGTAGCCCGACTTCAAATCCATCTTAGAGAACACTACTGCTCCATACAGCTCATCCAGTAGCTCATCGATCACCGGAATGGGAAACTTATCCGGCACAGTTTCCTTATTCAATGCCCTGTAATCCACGCAGAATCTCCAGCTACCATCCTTCTTTTTGACCAGTAGTACAGGACTAGAGAAAGGACTCACACTTGGTCTGATGATCCCCGCGTCCAACATCTCCTTAATCAGCTTCTCGATCTCGTCCTTCTGAATTTGGGGGTAGCGGTAGGGTCGCACACTAACTGGTGGCACCCCCTCCTTCAGAATGATTGCATGCTCTTGTTCCCTGAGTGGTGGTAAGCCTTGAGGCGGTTGGAACACCTCATTGAACTGTTGTATGAGCGGTTGTACTGCCAGAGGAAGGCTTCCCTCATCCCCTGCACTGACCCTCTCCAAGCGCTGCAGTTCCACCAAATATCCACCTCCCACCTCCTGTATGGTTCTGATCATGGATCTGAGAGACACGCCGGTGCCCTGCGTCGCCTTGGATCACCATCTTCTTTCCTTCCACCATTAGCTCCATCCTCAAAGCACCCCAATTTACTTTGGTCTCCCCTAAGGTCTGCAGCCATTTCATCCCCAGGATGACATCAGTGCTCCCCAACTCCAAGGGAAGAAATTCTTCCCTCACCTGGATCCCCTGAATCATCAGCACTACTCCTCTACAAACTCCCCTTCCCATTTCTACCTTTCCTGTGCCCAACATCACTCCATAGCCGCCTGTATCCTCCAGTTTCACCCCCAGCAAGTCAACCATCTGAGTGGAGATGAAATTGTGGGTTGCCCCACTATCGATCAACACTATCACCTTTCTATCAGCCATCTCTCCCCTCACTTTCATAGTGTGATTTGGAGTGAATCCCACCACAGAATTTAGGGATACTTCTGCTACATCCAAATGTAGTTTCTCCTCATCCTCCATCTCTAACCCACTTCCACCTCCCTCCTCAGCTTTCTCGTCATCACAGACGGTGAGAACCTGAAGAGTTCGGTCCTTACACCTATGCCCTGGCATGTATTTCTCATCACATCTAAAACACAACCCCTTTGCCCTCTTCTCCTGTATCTCCTTCTCAGTTAGCCTTTTGAAATTTCCCCCTCCAGTTCTCTCTTTGGGTATTTCCCTCAACCCCCCTGTTGCTGGTGCCTTTGGAGCTAAGAAAGTAGTGGTCATTCTGTAAGATCCTCCAGAATTGCTTCCCCTAATCCCCTTCTCCAGATGCTTCTGGTCCTCCACCAGCTGAGCTAGCTCCATGGCCTCTCCAAGGTCTCGTGGCCTCATCACCCGAACTGCTGCCCGGATCTCCGCTTTCAGCCCCTTCATAAAGTTTCCTTCTAACACTGTCTCTGAGAGCCGATCCAGTCTGCTGGCCAAATACTCGAACCGGTCACGATACTCTGCCACTGTCCCTTCCTGTGTCAAGGCAAAAAACTGCTCATAGAAGTCTCCTCCCCTGCTGGTTCGGAAGCGTTCTAGTAGACAGTCCTTGAACTCCCTCCAGGTGCGAATGGGTCGCCTCATGTCCCGCCATTGATACCATGCCAGAGCCTTCCCTTCTAAGCACAAGCCTGCAGCTGTCAACTTCTCCTCCTCATTCAACCCATTGACTGTAAAGTATCTCTCCACCTTGTAGATCCAGCCATGTGTGTCTTCGCCCTCAAAGATGGGCATCTTCAATTTCCTCACTCTCGGGTCACCACCGTGTCCCCTAACTCCTCCATAACCTCCCATTCCTCTAGGAGGAGGTGCTCCCCAGTAGTCACGATCTTCCCTCCTACGATCATACCCGATCCCTTCATCACATTCCCCTCTTCTTCTTTCCAAGTCAGCACCACGGCGGTAAGCATCGTCCCTTCCCCCAAAAAATTCTGCACCCCTCCTTTCATAGCCCATACTCATCTCCTCCCTAGAAAGCGGTTCTAGAGGAGGTATTCCATCATCTCCCTCGAGGATCTCCACTTCCGGGTTCTCCCTCCCCCTTAATGGGTTCGGAATTCCTCCTCTTGAATGGCCGCCTGTGGCCTCCCTTGTTTCCGATGTCGCCGGATTTTGTTTGTCTTCAAGCATCTTCTTCATCATATTCTCCAAAGCAGTGAACCTCCCCTCCATCTTTTCATGAATGGAAGCGAATTGGTTGTGAAAATCAATGGTTCTTTCCTCCAAATCAGCCTTCAGTTGGCCTATTTCTCCCTCCAGTGCATCAACCTTCTTTCCAGCCATCTTCCCTCCACGGTTTTACAAGAAGAACTTCTTGAGGAGGAAAGAAAAATTGCTGAAATTTTCAGATTTCCGCCTCCAACAGTCCCAAGACAATGCTCTGATACCAATTTGATAGGAAATACTTGAGTTCGCAAGTAACCCTAAGGTAATACTTGAGTTCGCAAGCAACCCTAGTCAAAATCAGCCCAAAACAGTGAGCAAAACTGCTGTCCCAGCAGTTTTACAGCAGCTCTGCAGCAGGAAATGCACCCAAACAGAGAAAAATAAGGAAAAGAAACAAGGTTTCCACTAGTAGATGCAAGAAAACAAAGAAAGATACAATGTCCTTCGATTCGAGAGGAAGAACAACTCTCCACAAGTCTCTAGCAAACCCTAGAGCCCAAGCACACAATGAGATCTCAAACTTTTCATTCAAATTCAAGATGAGGACCTAATTCCCCCCTTTCCCCCTCTTTAACTCTCATCCCCATACAAAATCCCTAAACAGCCCTTCTATTCAAATTTTCCCCCCTTTCCATTCAAATTTTCCCTCCAACCCTTGAATTAACTCCATGTGGGGCCCGCCTAGAGTAAGTAAGGATCGGAGGGGCCTGCCTAACAGTTTCATACTTTTATTCATAACGTTTTTCTTTAGGCACATTAAATTAGTGGTTGTACTTTGATCGCACATCTTAATAATATATTGAAACTGTATAAAAATCCTTTCTTAACTAAATTATTATCCTTGGTGTTGAAATTATCTCTAAAGTCAATCTTTTTGAAATCCAAATTTATTCTCCAATATTATGTTCCATTATGTTCTCATATTATTTCCTTGCGCTCATTATTATAATGGCATCACAATACTTTTTCATTATTTATTTGACATTCTCCTTGTTATTTCATTGAAAGGATTTATAAATCAAACCACTTCAATAGCTGTCATAAGCCTTCAAATTGAAAATATATTATCTTATTTGGCCTTGGAGTTTCATTATGTGCTTTTTAAAGCTTATCAACTTCACTTTTATCAATCAATCTATGATGTACCTGATTCTTTTCATCAGTCTTCATTCTTTATCCTTAAATATCTTTATAGTATTTTGAACTTTCTTTAATATCTTTATTTCTATACAAGATAGTATTTACATTCTAGTCTATCTAGTTTGATCAATGTTTTTATAGATTTCTCATCTTTTTAGCTAATATATATCTCCATTCTCATTCCTTAGAGTTAGTCTATGGTGTATCTCTCTATTTGGAATTCTTTGAGTTAAATATACTTTAATTTTAATATGATCTTATGACTTCTAAATTTGTGGTCACTTGGGTTTTGATAATAGCTTCTTATGGCACTTGTTGTGTTGCAGGCCTTTGCAATTAGGCCCACAAGTAATCAAAAAAGTCAGGGTTAGGCGTAGTATTGGAAGTACTTGTTTTTATGCCCTTGTTTCCCTTGGGTGTATTTTTTAGAAGTGTTTGTTGTTTTTCTTTCAAGAAATAAAATTTTCCCTGGAAGTTGCTGCGAAGTTTTTACATCTCATTGGGAAAGAAACCATTATAAAATAAGAGAAAATTATTTGTGCTTTTGTTGAGACCTTCTAATTGTGGATTTTTTGCTTTTAATATTTCTATCTGAAGTCAAGCAGCTCTTATATCCTTCGTAATTTGTACCTCCTTTTAGAGAACAATAATTTGGCACTTATTTTCTGCTAAATCTCCCCTCTTGCATGTAGTTTCTTCTCTTCTTCGTGCTCTTTCTCACCTAGAACTTCATTGTAACCATGTGTGCCATCTTGAGTATCATTCTTATACTTTCTGTTTAGTTCCAAATTAAAGTGTGCTGGGTGGGTGGGTTTGCTTTGGGGTGGGGGAGTTTGATGAGCAACATTGTCATTGTCAAGCCATAATGTTTTTTTGTTTCTAATATGATTTATTCCTTTCTTAGAAGGCAGGCACTCCTTTGGGGTTGGGAGTTTAATGTGCAATGAATTTGTTGAAAGCATATGGATCAGCATATCTTCTTCCATGTAATTATCTGAATCATAGCACAAATTTTATGGCTTTTTTTTTACAAAGGTTAAAATAGTAGCTGTCAACCTAATTGAAGTGCGTAACTACTTAGTAATATTAGAAGTCCAAAAATACATATATTTATGTATATTTAATTAAATTTACTAAGTTAAATATAGATCTGGTGGGGTTGTTAATGCCAGTTATGAATTTGCTAGTTGTTAGGTAGACAGTAGATTATAATACATCTTTGAGCATCTATCTGCCTAATTTTGATTTCGTCTCACTGAATGCTTAGAAATAAGCGCTTCCTTCTCTTGTAACAATCTCTGCCTTCTGTTGAACACTTATGTTATGCTGATGGTTTATTTCAAAATGCTCTTTCAAAGAAATTCACTTTTACTATTTATAACAGTTTTCTCTTTTCTTGTTTAGGATGATGATGGTGATAATGCTTTTCATATAGCTGCTGATGCAGCGAAGATGATACGAGAAAATCTTAATTGGATTGTTGTTATGCTACAGTATCATGATGCAGATGTGGAAGTTAGAAACCACAGGTATGTGCCACACTGATTATCACAAAAAAACTAACTTGAGGAAATCTTTTCTTTTTGCACATGTAGCTAGGGAGAATAAGAGCTGTTATTCATAACGAGGTAGTTTTTACGCTGCTATCATGGTATGTTCTAGTTCTTATGGTTTGCTTCTTGTCTCAATTGCCTTACAGAAGAGCAATAGCTGGATGATAGTGATTGATAATAGGCTATGATTTAGACAAAATTATTGTTGCCTTGCTTAGCAGGAGCCCCATACTGAAAGGAAAAGGTTTAGATACTAACAAGAACTAGGGTGATGATGAGAACAGTAAACATCATGATTAGCTGCTGTTAATGATTCTGAAGATATGCTAATACATTTACATGCAACTAATACTTGATTTAAAGCCGTTGTTCTAAATAAATATTGTTGGCTCAAGAAAAATAGTACGAATGCATGAATCTCACTTTATAGACATAGGATTCCATTCTCCTTAAGGCATATTGTAATTAACCAGATTTCCCCTGAGGGTAATATCAGGGTTTAATTAGATCTGAGTTCTTACTTGCCATGAACGCTAGCACTCATAGTTAATTATTCTTCTTAACACTTAAGAGAGAACTCTTGATGAAGGATGAATAAATTTTAGGTATTTTAGTCTCAATTATGGGAGAAATCGAGGTAAACCCGATCAAGATCCTATGATTTCGTTATCCCAGGTATACCAAATGTTTCAATTTACCAACACTAACAATCATTAATCATAGTGTCCATGGAATCTTATTAGCAGTCATGAGTTGCCTCTTCTCAGAGATCCCAAATAGATTGAGGTGATTAGAGGTGAGTTTTAATTTTATCGGGTTTTGAGATTTACATTTATCAAAATACCTAATAGTTGGTTTGGTTTGGGATTTGTGACTTCATTTAGAAGTTACGCAGAAGTTTGAATTGAAGCGGGTCTTACAGCTTATATTAAGAAATAGCCCGAGTGTGTAAATTTGTGTTGGGACCTACGACTTTCATTGAAAGTAGCTTGTAAAGTATGTTTTACGGCTTCTATTAGAAGTAGCCCAATTAATTTTTAATTTGGTTGACAGGTTTCACGACTTTCTTAGAAGTCTGTAGATTTAATTTGGAATGGGATTTACGGCTCTACTTATGTGTGTATTCCAAAGATGAGTCTTACAATCTAACTCTATAGCAAGACTGCCCAGAGATTTAATTGTTTTGGTAGGTCTTACAACTTCTTTTTAGAAGTTGCTTAAAAGTGGGTCTTATAATATAATCTTTTATATTAAGATGCCCATTAATTTAAATTTGATTATTTGGAGGTTTTATATTTTATTTAGAAATTTCTTAAATAATAGGTTTTATAACTCTTATTAGAAGTTGCCTAGTTATTTGGGTAAGACGGATCTTACTGCTTATAGAAGTAGCTCATTGGTGGGTTTTACAATTTAGCCCTATAGACTAAATTGTCTGTTACCTTTGTTTGGATTTGGGGTAGGTCTTATGACTTCTCTTAGGAAGTTATTTGAAAATGAGTCTTACTACTTCATTTAGAAGTGACCCAATAGTGGCTCTCAATGTTTAAAATTACTTAATCGAGTATTAAGGATTTTTTTCGTTCGTGAGGCGAGGCGTAAGCCTCAAGGCGTTTTGACGCGTAAGCCTCAAATTCAAAAGATTGCGTAAACATAAAATGATAAATTTTTTATATACTAATAAGTAAAAAAATATAAAATATAAAAAGTCACAAGATATAAAGTGAAATCAAAATATCTCAATAATAAGACAATATAAAATATAGTTCAACTCAAATTCTATCTTTTCCAAATCACAGTATATCAAACCCCTAAACATAATATTTCACTTATTCTACATTAAGAAAACTTATACAAAGCATGCACTCATGTAGAAGCAAACTAACACTAACAACTATTACTGAAGATGCATGGGGGTGGGGGGACGAACCAAATCTTATTATACAATTTTAAACCATGGTGAGTCTTACAACCTAATTCTTTAGACTAGGTTGCTCATGAATTTGAATTTGATTATTTAGATTTTAGGATTATTGCAATCTATTTAGTATTTTTTTCTAAAATGTGGGTCTTATTAATTTAATTAAAAGTGGTCGAATAGTGAGTCTTACAACCTAATCTTTTAGACTAGGATGCCCAATAATTTAATTGCTTGTTTGTTTAAGTGGATAACAGTTGTTTGTTAGCTTGACACCAAACTGTGATTTTTAGTTATTTATTGATGCAATCAATAATTTGGGAGATGGACCTAAATTTTTTATCACAAAAATAAACTCTTTCTAGGATGATAGAAAGACATAAAATATTAAAAAAATTGATAAAATATAACTAACAAAACGAAACACAACTTTAATATTATAAAAGGACTTACAAACAAGGACTCTTACAAACTTTGACACTTACAAACATTTGACAAATTTATGACTTCAAAGCAAACACCTAAAGAAGCTTTCATCCATTAGAAGAAGGATACAGATGAGGTGGCACTTGCGGAGAGACGAAAGAGGTTAGAAGCCGAGACGAAGGGTGGAACGTACTCGCAAGTCTTTCCTATAGGAGATGAGAAGAAGAATGGAACAAGCTCGCAAGCTTTTTCAACAAAACCTGCAGGTTTACATTTCCAAAAATCATTCATATAACATAACTTAAAACAACCCAAAACATCTACTATATATATAGACATGAGAAGGGAATACAAATAGTCACAATGACCTTTCATATTCATAATATAAATGAGGGAAATGAAAAGCTAACAGTCAACTCCAGGAAACAAAGCACCAAAGCCACGGAAAAGCCCCCAAACAGCCACGGGAAAGCAGCCCAGGCGGAACCCGAACAGGCAGCCGCGGAAACCCAAGAGGCCCGCACGGAACCGAGGCACCAAAGCACGGGAAAGGCCACCCAGCACGGAAAACCAGCAGCCAACCGGGGAAACCAAGGAGCCAAGGCACGGGAACCAAAGGGCCATCCACGAGAACCAAGGAGCCATTTATGGGAACCAAAGGGGCAACAAATGGGGGGAATGAACCTCAATTTATGAGCTAAAAAGGCTCTCTACTAGACATTAATGAGCTGATTCTAGTAGAGGACCTAGAAGCTCACCAAATTTATAATTCAAAATGTTTTAACCCCCCTTTGCCTACATCGTTTACTAACAGTTTGTTTACTAGTTTGACACTTATTAACCAACAGTTGTCATTGTGTGGCACTAGTGTTTTTTGCTACAATAGTTTTAAATATAAGAGTTTTTAAAATACTAGAGTTTTAAAATTGTGATTAATATAATTAATTAGATTTTTTTTGTTAATTGATTAATTAATTATGTTATGAATGAAAATGTAGAAAAAGAAATATTATTTTTTTCACTAATCAGACCCGTACAGACAACTCTCAATACTGTTCTTAAACTCTCGGAATGACAACTCAACCAACAAACAACTCTCAGCTCAAAATTGAAACCCACAAACCCTGTTCTTCAAATAAAACTCTCAAACTCAACACTTTGATTCAAACAACTCTCAAACTCAACATATTCAAAATAACACAATACTGTACAAGCTCTCCAATACTTTTGAATAAGGCTAAAAAATAGCACGAGCTCCTATAATAATCAAATGAAATTAATTAAATATTGAAATTAAATTGATATCAAAATAAATGTTAATACAGAAAAAACACATACTATAGTAAACTACTAACACAAAAAAGTAGAATTTCTGGTGCAAGAAAAGTAGAACTACTGGTGCAGGAAAAGTACACACTGAATCTGTCAAACAGAAGGAAAAAAAACTACTATAAATAGAAACACTAATGTCATTCAACGACAACTGCTGGCTAGTAAGTGTCAAATTAGTAAACAAACTATTAGTAAATAATTGAAAACTACAATCTGTTGTCAAGCTAACAAATAAATATTGTCCATTGACTCCACTCAAACAAACAAGTAATTAAATTACTAGGCATCTTAGTGTAAGACCCACTATTCGGTCATTTCTAATGTCACGACCCGATCCGGCTAGCCTGAATTAATGGGGCGGGAGTAGATAGTCGTACGGAAAACACCGTAACATAAGGCAATCATTTCATTTAAACTTTTATGACAAAACATCAATATCGTCAATCACATGAAAAGAAAGAGCCAACTAAAACATCAATTAAAAGTTAATCGAATTTGATTCTTCTCACACAACTAAAAACATAAGCATCCACAATTACATAAACTCCAACAAACTATTCAGATACAACCACTAAGTCAAACTCAAAACAGTAAACATAAAATCTTTCTTCTTGAGGTCCTCCATGACAGTAGGTGTACTGTCGTCTTGTAGTAATTACTTTTTAACAATATCTCCTAAAAAATATTTCCAATAATAGGATGAGCTAACGCTCAGCAGGTGATAAACAATTATTTTAAATTCATAAAATATTTTTTTTCTTTCTTAAACATGCCATTAAGCATGAAAAATGAAATAATAAAAGATCATAATAAACATTTATAGGCATGAATTTATAAAATATTTCCATAATCATTTTTTTAAAACATTTCATTTAATCATTCTTACTTTCCTTTTCTTTAAATCCTTTCATTAAGTGCATAAATTTCATAATCATAATATAATAAATACCAATCTCAGAAGTACCAGAGTTTTGTACTGATCAGGTATACAGTCATTGACCATTCCAGTCATTGGCCATTCCTTTACCATTTGGCTTCGAAGAACCCCATTATCATTTGGCTTTGAAAGCCTCTTTATCATTTGGCTCCGTAGAATCTCATTACCATTTTAGCACTTCCGGATCATTATGCACATGCACTTTATAATACTTATATTGCTCAGGTAGACATAATTTTTCATTACATCATATGTTCTTTAGTGTTTTTCGGGTAAGAAAATTTTGTATCTCCTATGCATGAAGTTGTTTAATTTGCTTTAACATTCTAAGTAACATATCATATATATAAACAATAATTGTAA